GCTTAACCGACTGCGCCACCCAGGCGCCCCTAAAAATTCATTTTCTGAATAAAGCCACTGGTTGCCGGTATGTTTCCTTGCTGTCCAATCACAGTGTAATCATTTATATCTCTGTTTGGCTTCAGGGCTTCCCACCTGGCATCCATTGGTTTCTTTTCTCTTCATCCTGCCTTTAAAAAAAGAAATTGTATTGGGTTCCCCCAAGAAATTTTATTTGTCAGTAAAGGCTTGAATTTTATCTATCTTTCACACACAGTTTTTATATGTGCCTAATATTTCCTCAGCCATTTTCCTGCTATGTCATGCAGAAGTGATATATTGGCTGTATGCCATTTCCTGCCAGGCATTGGAAGCATCCTGGGAAAGTGGTTTTTAAATGGGACTGAAAGTCAAGAGTCCCAAGTACTTTTCTTAGTTCATCTCATGATTGACTGTGAGATGTGCCGGTCAATCTTTCTATTTACTGGTCTCTTCACCTGTAAGAAGGGAATGTGCAGCTCACTTTTCTCAGGGCACAACAGGCTCCTCACAGCAGCCCAAGATTTTACACACAAAAAACATTTAGGCCTGGAAGACCTACTCATCAATTATAATAATTCTAAGTGTTTAACAATAATGGCCTGAGAACCAAAATGGTTCTCATCATTTTGGTCTAACACAATTACAGATGTATCTTCAGAAAAGATAGTTACTCTGCAGTTTTCTTTTCCTTTCTTTTTCTTTTTGAGTAAAGTAAATCACTCTTTCCTTTTTAACCTAGAGTATAATTTAAAAAAAAAATTTTTTTTAACGTTCATTTACTATTGAGAGACAGAGAGAGACAGTGCTAGAGCATGGAAGGGGCAGAGAGAAGGGGAGACACAGAATCCGAAGCAGGCTCCAGGCTCTGAGCTGTCAGCACAGAGTGCGACGTGAGGCTCGAACTCACAAACCGTGAGATCATGACCTGAGCCGAAGTCAGATATTTAGCTGACTGAGCCACCCAGACGCCCCTAACCTAGAGTATAATTTTATCTAGGCGTCAAAGGACTGCTTCCTACTATTCATTTATTCCATTTTTTAATGTTTTGAGGGCTCCGGCTCTGTGTCAGTCTCCTAGGGATGCTACAGTGAACAAGACCAATGTCTTATCTACCTTAGAATAGCCTCCAGTCTGAGGGACTTAGAGCCCAATGTACAGCAGAATCCCCCAGCTCCCTGCCCCAGCTCTTTAGCCAGAAGGAGACATCCACTGAACATTTAGGAAGGAGCCAAGCCTTTCTCTAGGTCCAAAACCATTCCAGGAAAATGAATGATAATCAGCAGTTACTTGGTTCTTAGTGCACTAAGGACTGGACTGAGTGTTTTATCTGCATTATCTCACTGATTCATCAAAATGGCCTAATGTGGCCAATAGTATTATTACAGATAATAGAACTGAAGTACAGAGATAGTAAATATTTCCCCCATGGAGACCCAACTAGACAGTGGCGGAACCAGGATTCACATCTGACAGTCTTTCTTCAGGGCCCATATTGGAATCTGTTTATGGACTCAGGTTGGGAACAACTCCCAAGACACTAACTGAATGTGCTAGAGGCTTTTCTTACCTTTTTACCAACTCTACTAGCCTGTCAAAGACTTTTTGATTCATCATCTAGAATGCATATTTGTGGGCTAAGTTTTAAAGCAGATACCTTTCCCTCACTCTGAAAATTGACAATTGTAGAAGTCAACAGTTTTTTTTAAACCATGAGAGTAGCTGATCTCATACTCCAATCCCATGAAATGATCCTAATTCCAATATGAAATTTTCTAAACTGTATTCAAGATTTCTTAATAAGTGTTCAACCAAAAAGGATTCCATGGGAATAGTAAGTTGGGGAAACCACATTCTCATAATGGTCTGAGCATATTAGTGGTTCTGTAAAATCCTGCAATTTCTTCTACTATAAATTTTACCTGATTAACCTCATTTGACCTAGTTTCCAAAATATGTATTAATATCTTAAGAAACTAGCTAGTATCCCAAGGGGCAAATTGGAGAAACTCTGCTCTTGAAAAGGCTCAGAGAATATTTAGACTGCTAATGATAAGTATATTTTAGTCCAATTTAAAATGAATCAAGATACTTTTATTAGAAATCTTAAAAGGTGTCTAAATACCTATAGGATCCTTAAAAGCAGGCACACAGTCATGCTAACCCAGACTGATGGTAAATTATATTGGTAGATTAGGAAATAGAGACACTGGTTTGGTGTGTCAGGATGAAAGCCATATGGGATGAGGTCCTCTGAGCACTGGGGCCTAGTTGAACCAGCCACAATTATTTGTCTTACTCTAAGCCAGAATAGCACACTTGATGTTTTAGCGCCCCCTGGGGGCCATCAAGATAGTGCACAGGAGTCACAACATTAAATGGCTAATGCAGAATTATGAATACCCCTGAAGGCAGGTAGGAAGAAGGTAGAGAGAGATCTGGGGTTAAAAAATAGCCTAAAGAACTCCGAAACAAAAGTTGAAAATGTTTCTAACCTCTAACACATTGATAACATACCACCAAGCCCCCCAAAATCTACTGATATGGTCCAAAGATGACACATGCTGTTAAGTAGGCAATGACTAGGGTGTAAACCAGGGTAAAAGTTTTCAGGATGAAGAGAAAAAAGAAACATAAGTTCTCTCTCTTTGAAAGATGAGTTTCTCAAAATGGCATTTCTACCATGGAATAGCTTGCATTAAAAAAAATCGTAATAAAATTCCGTTCTGTGTTCAGATAAGGTCTCTAAGAAAGGCTGTCTTGTAGACATTGAGTGGGAGAGATGAAAAGCAGGATTAACAGACCTCCAGGCACAGTCTTCTCATTAGCAAAGCCTCCACATTTTGCAGGATATGTACCTTGTTTGTGGGATGATTATATTCAAGAAACACTCTGGCTACAAGGCCTATGAGGAAAGCCTCATAGTGATGGAGATTGCATTTTTTAGACAAGAGGTAGAAAATATATTGAACATTATTTCTTTTACAATGCACCTATGATAAGTAGAACATTTTCTCTATTTACACTTTAGTATTCCTATGGTATAATTGGTATTTATTGCTTTGTGCATTTTTACTTACTCTGATTGACAGTTCCAATCTCATTCTGAGGAGTGCTTGCTGAAACACTTTGAAGATTAATAACACACATTCTGTTGTCCGTTTTCAGTTCTAATCTATGAACCAGAAAATCCTGAGGCCAAGGAGTTTTTCTCACTTATTGAAGAAATGTTGCTGATGGGTAAATTTAAAAATTGAAATTCCTTCTTTCTCATAGAACTATGAGCAGTCACTATTTAAAAACCTATTATCCCAGGAGATTAGTGAAGTACACCCTCAGAAAGTGGTTAAGAAAAGGCTAACTGGTTGTCTTGGATGGTTTAATGAAACCAACTTGTCCTTTGTAGATGGTCAGGGTGACTCCCTTTTCTCTGTGGGGTAGAACTGCCCAAGTAAATCAGGCTCCCTGGGTACCAGGCATCAGGGACTGACACAGTCTTCACAAGGAACAGAACATGCTAATTGCCACACATGTTAAAAGAGCTATCCCACAATTCCAAGGAAAACTAGTACCCTCTAAATTATCCTACATCTCACTTACTCTTACTATATTTAATTAAGAATTACATTGAGAATAGTAAAAAGAAACTTTATAGACCTATGGTTTTTTTTTTTTTTTTTTTTTTTTTTTTTTTTTTTTTTTTTTTTTTAACGTTTATTTATTTTTTTTGGGACAGAGAGAGACAGAGCATGAACGGGGGAGGGGCAGAGAGAGAGGGAGACACAGAATCAGAAACAGGCTCCAGGCTCTGAGCCATCAGCCCAGAGCCCGATGCGGGGCTCGAACTCACGGACCGCGAGATCGTGACCTGGCTGAAGTTGGACGCTTAACCGACTGCGCCACCCAGGCGCCCCATAGACCTATGTTTTAAATTTACTCTAAATCCATAAATATCTTTATACCAGTAAGAATATAGTCTTTGTACTACTATTTTGACCCTACGTACAGTTAACAAAGTTCAGCTCAGTCTTCATGTTCCAAAGATAGGTATTTCTAAGTGGAGGGAGAAGCAAGAAGAATTATGATTTTTCAAAGAGTAGAAATATCAAGAACATTTTAAGCAATTTTCTTCCTTTCTATGGCAGAGAAATCTCAAAATCTTGAGGAAGATGATGAAGATAGTGAAGAAGACAGTAGCAGTGAGAGTGAAGGAGAGAGCAGTGAGGAGCTAAGTGAAGAAAGCTCTGATGAATGCGAAGACGGGTGATGAAGGTTGCTGCTATGGTTTAATCTTCATGTACTTTCATTACTGTATACATGGAAATATAAGGGAGAAAGCTGCATTTTAGTCTTGTTCTTTATTTGGCACAGAGTTCTTTTAATTTATCCGTATCGGTTTGAGCTCCTTCTTGATATTTAGTTCTTACCTCTATGTGAGTTACTCAGAGAAGAAATTAGTAATTGAAAATATTTACATAGCTGTAATTGTGTACCACGTGCTGTTGTGCACACATTAGTTCATTTAATCCAACAAACCCATGAGGCTTGGGTTAAAACAACACAAATTTATCATCTTACGGTTCTGGAGGTCAGAAATCCAAAATGAGTCTCACTCAGCCAAAATCAGGATGTCAGCAAGGCTGCACTCTTTCTGGAAGCTCTAGGAGAAAATCTCATTCCTTTCTTTTGCCAGCTTCTAGAGCCTCCACACATTCCTTGGCTCCTGGCCTCTTCCTGCATCTTCAAAACGAGCAACATCTGGCTGAGATCTTCTCACATTGTCATCTCTCTAATTCTCTCTCCCCTCTGTTGTGATTTTTGTTAAAGTAACATTTGTTAAGTAGAGCCCTGGTGTGTCAGATGGTTCGTGATGCTTCCACAAAGACCACAAGGGAAAGTAAAATGAGAAGTTTATTATTCACAGGTCCTGGAGGAGGTACATGGCATGCATCAGAGGGGCCACATAAGGAGGTCAAGGTGCAGACAGAGTGGACAGCAGGACCAGGGGCATGCCTTTATTAGGGCCATGAGTGGAGTGCTTTGGGGGTTCTCAGGCTAAGGCTGGATTTGCCAATTCAAACCAAAAAGATCAGGTTTTAGTAAGCTCCGTGGGGGTCTTATCTAAGGGATGCACAGGGGAAAGAGTTGGGAGGCAGGAGAGACTGTTTATCACCAGGGGCACTGGGGAAATTGTATCAGGAACATACACTTACTTGTGATTCTACAGGCTCTTATCTAGTACATGGGCTGTTATCTAGGGCACGTACTTGAGGGAGAGGCTAGTGTGCTTAGCCACACAAAATGGATGCCAAGGCAGCAATGATATGGAATAGTTGAGCCAAACTCTCAATACCTTGCCTCTTCCTTCCACTTTTAATGACACTTACAATTACATTGGACCCATCTGGGTGATCCAGGATAATCTATAATCTTCCCTATTTTAGAGTCAGTTGATAATTTTAATACAATCTATAACCTTAATTGCCCTTTGCCATGTAACCTCATATGGGTTCTGGGGATTGGGACATAGACATCTTTTAGGGTGGGGGACATTATTCTGCCTATCACAGAAAGTATTGTGTAAATATTCATTTTTTTGGAATTCATGGTATGGAGCTTGGAAGAAACACTTTGGTTGGAAACAGACCAAACAGACCAAACAGACACTTTGGTTCGACTCCATTAGATAACACCTAACAGAGGTATCTCTTTAGAGACAGTAGTTAGTCAAAGATAAGGAAGTGGTGGCTCACAGGGAAAGTGTAGTCTGAATAGAAGAGGACTGAAAATAAAATGGTCTTAAATGAGGGGGCGCCTGGGTGGCTCAGTCGGTTGAGCATCTGACTTCAGCTCAGGTCACGATCTCACAGCTCGTGAGTTCGAGCCCTGCGTCGGGCTCTGTGCTGACAGCTCGGAGCCTGGAGCCTGCTTCAGATTCTGTGCCTCCCACTCTCTCTGCCCCAACCCACTAGCATTCTGTGTCTTTCTCAAAAATAAACATTAAAAAATGGTCTTAAGTGATAACACCTAAGAGGTAGTTCAAGAATGAGAGGTGCACAAAGGAGACAAGAACAGCCAGGAGGAAAATCGGGAAAATGAATATAGTGGATACCATTGGTTGCCCACTCAGCAGCTATCCCTCTACATCTTTGCTAAGAGAGCCCTGCTTCTGTCGGATATTCACTCCCCACACACATAGCCATGGGGCTCAGGAAAGACACCCTCAGCCAACAGTACATGGCATTTCTCTGGTGAACGTTACTGTTCCAAACTCTTCCAAAGGGGTGCATGTGACCCACATTGGCCCAACAAGATCAAGGACTTTATTTCATGATTGGGAGGAGAGGTGTCTCCATTCCTCTGGTTAAGAACCAGGAAGCACACTGCCCTACTTTCTGCTGGCAGCCACTTTATGATGAGGAGAGGGCCAAATCTTAGGATGAAGCTGATGCTGTGGATGCTACAGCAAAAAGCACCCAGATTTCTGGTGATGTTCAGCCACAAAATCAACTGCTCTGGAAGCCGGCCCTCAGTTTGCATTTTCTGTTATGTGAGACGGCTTTCTTATCATTTCAACTGGTTTGGATTGAGGTTTCTTGAACCTGCTGCCAAAGGCATCCTAAGCGATGATGAGAACTACCACAGAAACCCAGGAGGGCTACAAGGTCTGGAAAGATCTGCTTGGCTAAAAGTTATAAAGAAGACAAGTAAGATGAGAACTGAGAAGGGTGTTGGATAGCAACAAAGAGGGGGTTGATGACATTAGGGAGAGCACTGTCAGTTGAGTGGGGTGGGGAGAGACCTATTTCTGTGAGCTTGAGTGCACTGGAGATGAGGAAAAGGAAACCAAGGACTTTGATTATGAAGGAAGATGAAGTATTGTTGGAAGACCTAAGGGAAAAGGAATATAATTTTTTAAATGTTTAAGATGAGCATGTTTAGTAGAAAGGATGATAATTACATGTACCGATAGCCTATTATGCATTAGGTACTGTACTAAGCATTCCATATGTTCGTGTTTTCAGTCTTCATAGCACCTGCGTGGGGTGGATATTAGTATCCCCATTTACATATAAAGTAACTGAGGTCTAGAGAAATTGAGAGTAACTTTCTAAAGAGCACATACCTGGGAATTAGCAGAGGCAAATCTAGGTCTTTTTGGTGTGTGTTGTGGTTTCATAACTATTTGACCATCTGGTCCGCTCTTATCCACACTGACTGTAGGTTTTTGAAAGTGGTGATAGGTGTATAAGTATCTAATGTATATAGAACTTACTTGGTAAATCTTCATCCTCATTGCATTTTCTGGACAACTGCACACACATATAGTATACTCCTTTCTAGGACATTTCCTGTTGCTTTGGCCCAGACCTCTTTGTTGAGCCTGGTGTCAATGAGCGTATCCGGAGTTACCATCTCCCTCCTGGCAAATTTCCAGATCTCTGTGAGTGCCTGAGGAGCACACCTCTTGAAGCCTGTTCCATGGATGATGCACTTGTGAATGTTGATGGTGTATTCTCTGGTCACTCACTGCTGGCAGAATGGCCCTTCTCGCTTGCCCTTCTTTGTGAGAGAGCCACAAAGAGGGAGAAGAGGGCAAGGTATTCCAATTCAGGTTCAGTCTAATGCTGCCCTACCCTTCACCCCTGTGCTGTCCTCCCTAAGAGGTCAGGAGAGAGAAACAGATTGCAGAAGGGGAGATAATTTGTGAAGTGAAGCCTAATATTCAGAAAATGCATGTAACATAACCTTAGTTTGTGGTAGTTGGCTCTGTTTGGACTGCTCAGAGTTGCCTCTTAGAGTTGCCTCTCCTTTGTTCTCCAGTATTCGTCTTTATAAAGCCTTCAATTATCCTACAGTTCTTTATATATGAAGCGGGGTGATAACCTGCATTCCCTTTCATTGAAGTGTGGGTTTTTTTCCTTTAATTTTATCCTGGTTGACATGTAAAATACAAATAATTTTGGTATTTGCCTAAAATACTGATGTTTGACAAGGGTGAACCCTTGAACATAACTCCTAGTGCCAGATGTGAAGGAAAGCCTAGATCTATTGGAAATGTTTTCAGGTTCTGGGCAAGTGTCTTATATCATGAGGTACTGAGAGTTCACAGGAGGGAGGGAGGGAGGGAGGGAGGGAGGGAGG